CAATGTTCATCATCTCGCAGCTGATGACGTTCTCCATCGAGGACATCAGCAACCTTTGGAAGGCGAGCGCACTCCTCGGGCTCGCTTACGGCGGTCTTTTTGGGCTCTTCCCGACGCTCGTCATCGAGTGGTTCGGCCTGCGTAAGTCAGCTTAGTATCTCTTTGAGGCGCCTCATGAGACCTAACCCGCTCTGTTCCCCTACAGCGCACTTCTCAGAGAACTGGGGGTTCGTCTCGCTCTCCCCCATGCTCGGTGGAAACGTCTTCTCCATCGCGTTCGGGCGCAACCTTGATGCGCACGGCACCGACGACGATGCGTCCCCCTCCGGGAACGGGACCTCCCTCGTCTCCGTACTCTCCTCCCTCACACCCACTTCCACTCTCGCCCCTTCGGCACTCTCGCCACTATCCACAGCCACAGCCGCCAGCACAAGCGTGCTGTCCGACATCAACGCGCGCGGAGGCGTCCCGTCCGCACACCACTGCATCGATGGGCGCGAGTGCTACGTGGACAGTATCAAGATGACCACGGCCGCATGTTGCGTCGCTCTCGGACTCGGCATCTACGCGACCTGGCACGACCTCCGGAAGCAGCGGCGCCGCGCGAGCCGGGAGGCGGTCCCTGCGGTGATCGTCTGGGAGGACGACTCGGAGTGAGGTATCTTGTTACAGTGTATAGAGGGATCTTGACTGTTGGTGGTTATAGACTATTGTATAGCGTAAATATGCAGGACTTTTTCTCTTGGGATGGATGGCGGCGAAACAAGAAGCCCACTGAGAATGGTGCCAGCAAATTGTGGAAGCAAGCCTCGGGCGTCTGACCGTGCGTACCGTCAGCGTTAAGCGCCTTGAAGGCTTCCTACGGCCCTCGGATCCCTCTTCGGCACCACCACCACTGCCGCTCACCCTGCGTCTTTACTCGATGGATGACACCTCCGCCAGCCTTGCCTCTAAGGAGATCTCTGACATTCCCTCCATGAATCGTATCTCGTAACCTCTGGCTCTGTTCCTCGCCTGTACTCTCGTACCACGAACGTCGAGCGAGCGGCAAAACAGGCTTCCATCGAGGCCACACAGACCCTCGAACCCGTGCGCTCCGGGGACACCCCGACCGCCCGAGCCAATGATGCCATATGTTCCGCATGCTCAAGGCCATCTGAAACGCCGTCGCGGTCGAAAACCCAGTACACCAGGTACCGCGACCAACGATTGCCGTTCCCGAATTGCCCGAAAGAGGATGCTACACCGCGTTATTCCCAAGCCATGTTGACTGATTGTGATGTTCTCACGTACTCAATCTCGAGTTGGCAGTGACTTCATCGGAAACTAGCTTCTCCGGTACTGGTTTTTCACAGGTAGTGTCGTACTCAACAAAGACAAAACCTCTGGTGACCGCCCTAGTTCTTCCGTCCAACGCTCTGGCAAGCGCTGCCATGATATGTCAGTACCCGTCTCGACCGGACAGCTTAACTGCGCGCGCCATACCCCTGTGGTTCACGACTATAACCCAAAAACCGTATGCTCCTAGCGGGCGGTTCCGGCTGCGGCGCCCTACTACGACCTACGCACAGGATGCCACAGCAATGATCCGAAGGCCTCCTCCATCCGCACTGTCTGGTCGAGACGCGAAGTGCAAACTACACATCTCAAAGACCGCGCCTTGGGCCTTGCGAAGCGTGCGCCCAATCAAATATGATATCTCAGCGGTGTGCATTCTACTCCTCGAAATTCTCATCCGCACCGCGTCGAAGCCGTATTGTAACGATCGAGTCAGCTTTTCTGAAAAGACGGAATTTGTTGTCGCTCCGTTGAAGCGACTCTCGGACGGTAGATAACATGGCGCAGAGAGTAAGCATTGTACTTCTACACAACGCGAAGCATTACCAACCACATCTGACATCAGCGATGCGGTTCAAAGGGGCAGGCACATCACCAACCATCATGGAAGTGTCGCTCACCCGATTCCAGCTCGTGGTTGTGTGGTTGCAAAGGCGCTCCCCGGACAGAAACCACGGCGCTCCCGCAAGGTTTGGCGGCGCCTCAAGACCGCATGTTCATACTCTACTCTAAGCGTGTGTATGACTACGGGACATGCGTCTCCTGCCGCCAAGGTACCGCGCGGCATTAAAATTTCTGACTAGTACTAGTGGAAGCCGCCCTCCGACAGGGTATAAAGGCTAAGACGATGTCGTCTACGACAGAGCAGAACATCCATTCTACAGCAACCTTGCTTCAAACATCCGACCGCCGAACCCCTCGCCACCTACTACTACCATGTTCAAGCTCATTCTCTCAGTCATGGCTACGGCTCTCTTGGCGAGCAGCGTTCAAGCCTTTACTGGCGACGGTCTGCCCCAACTCTCCCAAAGCATTAGTGATTTCCTAACTTCCACCGTAGCCACCTTCTTCTTCCCCGGCCTTGGAGCATGCGGCAGAACGAACAAGAACAGCGACCTCATCGTCGCCCTCAACCCGGTCGAATATGCCAAAGGGGCCAACTGCTTCCGCAACATTGACGTACACTGTGAGATTATTTACTCTCGAGCACTCCCTTGAACGACACGTGGTCTGATTCTACGACTTCTTCAGACAAAGGAAAGTCAGTCAGGGCGACCGTCGTTGATCTGTGCCCCAGCTGCGCCGACGGCAGTATCGACCTCTCTCCGGCTGCGTTCGATAAGCTTGCACCGGAATCAGTTGGCCGCCTTCACGGCGTGCAGTGGAACTTCGTGTGAAGGGAAGTGTTCGCAATAGGCAATTGTAGAAGCTTGAATGTATAGAAACGCGAATATAGTAGGTCTGGATGTGGTAGACGGACGAGGTTTTTGACATCTAGATTAAATTGTGGGAGGGTCTGTTCAAGTATATGTAAAGAGTGCTCTTACTTTCGACTCAACATATAGAACCCAATATCTACTGCGTACTGTGACCATGATCATCTTCGCAAGATGGTACGACGGACACTATACCTTCCTAAAACGGCTATGACACAGCTTTCCGGAATTCTCCGGGTTCTCTTGGCCGCTAGGCACCAGTGACTTCAGCTTTATGTCAATGTCCTCGGTTTGAAATATTCCTAACACGACTTCAACTCGCTGCGAGGGAACACCATCTTAGGCGGCCATAATTCACACGGGGCACTGAATACGGCATGAGCAGACAAGAAAGCTCCCAGACTGCCACTTGCATGAGTTCGAAATATCACCGTGCTTCAGGTCCTACTGCAGACACTTCCATCTGGCCGACCCGGACTCCAGACATACTAGCTGGACCCAATGAGCTCGATTTCACTCTGCTCGTGGTGATATCGTTGAGGTTTAGTCCCGCTTCCTGCGTGCCGCGGCATGGCGGTATGTCACCCAAATCTCCCGATGCGTTCGGAAGCGCTACTGACTCGATTGAGGCTTTCACAGGTTTTCCTCGCAATGCTATGCGTCTCGATTGTGACATCTGTGTATTTCGCCTGCCGACGTACCGCCCTTGGTTACGGTTCTGTCGCCTTCCGCATGGTGCAGGGTGTTTTAAGGGGGCGTGTAAATGCCGTAAAGCCGCCATAAGACCCGACTAGATTTTAAAGAAATCGTGTTTCGACGTGGACTGAAATTCAAAGCGTAAGATCGGAGCCCTCGTTCAACTGAATGGCTATGCCGCATCTATCCCATAGACACCTGGCGCTCTAATATCATGTCATCTGACTCTTCAATGGTCTTACAGCGGCCTCACTCGTCGCCGTATTAGATATGAAGTAAAATATCCAGCACATACCACGTTGGATGGCCAAGTCCGATTCTCTCAGACTCGATGCGGTTACGTAGGTGAGTTGCGCCCATCGTGGTCATTTTCCGTGTTCACGAGTCCACTGACGATAGGAAAGGTTGAACATAATGTCTATCCACTCGCCACTGTTATCCAACGAGGGAAATGGACCAATGCCGACTAGTTGATGCCGGTCACGGAAGGCATGACGCCTCATAGCGCTCCGCGTGTGTTTACAATTTCTCGAAGCAAACGCTGCACGGCCTTTCGGGGAGAAGGGTGGTTCTAGGGCTCTCGTTGCGGTTCTATAGCCGCCTCTTGGTGTGTAAAAACCCATGAAATCCAAGAGCAAAGCTAACATCACTCACCATCGAAAGAACTCAAGACTACACACTACAACATCCTCTTCAAGAATGGTGTCAAAGCTTTTCCTCTCCCTCCTCACCTTCGCGTTCGTATCGGGTGCTCAGGCATTCACTGGAGACGGTTTGGCCCTCCTTGTCACAACAGCGAAGGCAATTCTGTGCTGAGTTTTTCCCGGACAGCTACTTTCTACCATCCTCAGGCTGGGGGGCAAGCCGGTGCTTGCGGCTCACACAACAAGGACAGCGAGCTCGTCGTCGCTCTCAACCCTACCCAATATGCGAAGGGCGCCCATTGCTTCAACCACATTAGTGTTCACTGTGAGTGTAGACCCGGACAGAGTTCTACTCGTGATCTGACATCTAGCGTACCAGACAAGGGAAAGTCGGTCGATGCGAAGGTCGTCGACCTTTGCCCCGGGTGTGGCGATGGTAGCATCGATCTCTCCCCTGCAGCCTTCAAGAAGCTTGCGCCCGAGTCGGTCGGACGCCTCCATGGCGTTAAATGGAACTTCAAGTGAAGGCGTGGCGTTGTGGCACTTCGTGTTGTATTGATATGACAGTTCGACGTTGGGGTACTATGAGAAGAAGTTTAGTGTCTTTCTAAGCCCACCAACTTCCCCTCGCGCCTCGACGTGTCGTGAGTATCATGGCGCGGGATCTGTATCTCCTTCAAGCTAACGGAAGCTGCGGACCATTAACACGATAGCCCCTCCCAATGAATACGAGCAGGCCCACATACGCCTCCGATCCAGGAAGATTGAATTCAAATCACGCATGTGCAATTCACTGTGCTAACGAAGATACTAGCGTAGCTGTTTCTGAGGACAGTTCAGCGTACAGTGACACTACAGCGGGGAGGGTAAAAAAAGTGCAACCAATTACCCCCGGCGGGACTCGAACCCGCAACCCCCAGATACCCGGCGCTACGCCCGTAGAAGTCTGATATCATAGCCATTAGACAACGGGGGCGTACAAATTTTCCTTTTCACAAACAACAAGGACGGAGCCGCTCATACTTATCATTTGGTTCGCACAGACTGGGAATGATACAGTGAACTTTTCAAATATAAAATCAACAGAATAGTTCTGTACAAGGATAAAAAAGACGCCACGAGCAGGAGGGCCGTGCGTTACGCTGAATCCAACTCAATCCCGATATCCCTCAGAATCTTTTCGGTCGTCTCCCACAGCTCTTCCCGTAGATCGGCCTTTAACACCAACGGGTTCGCAGAGGAATGAACCCCAGGCGACCTCAGAAAGGCACCTTTGTATTCCTCCACGCGCCCTCTCGGTACCGGGGATGCCGCTGCGAAGACGGGACCATATGCGCCCTTGGTTGGTGTTGTGAAAGTCAAGTTGGCAATGCCGGCGTAGATGCTGGACCGAAGTCCGCCAACTGAGTGCGCGTACGCCTGTACACCCTCTGAAGAAGGGTTCAGGTGCGTTCGGGGAGACGTGATAGAGCTGAACATACCAGTGTTCACTTCACCAGGGTCCACGGCAATCACTAGGATCGGGGTGCCCTCTTGGTCGAGACGGCGCTGCAACTCCTTGACAAACATCAACTGCATACCTTTGCTGAAAGCTGTTAGACGTTGAAATGTCAGTAACCTACACTGCAGCATCATAACCGCAACATAGATCGAAATCTACCGTAGCGGTTGTACTGAGGAAACGCAGTGTTCTCAAAATCCCTGTTGAAGTCGTCGAGGTTGCGGAAGCGGACGTCCTTTGCGCAGTGATTATTCGCGTTAGAGTTGATCTGAAGTCTGTTGAGAGCGCGTTAAGGAAGATGGCAAACGTGATAACCTACTGCGATAATTCGAACGTCAGCTTCGGGCTGTTGAGCCGTCCGTTTGAGCAAAGGGAGCAACGCTCGGGTGAGAACCACTGTTCCGAGGTAGCTGAAGTCAACACATCATGAGGAACACAGAACCATTGGGACACTAGACGAACTGACTTGACCATGACAATATCCTGGATTCCTAAAACCAATAAAGAACTGGGTTGAGAGTTAACCAATCGAATCGGTGGCACAGTATGCTTACCATCGTGGCTTTTTTGATATGGGTGCAATAATCTAGCAAAGCGCGATATGTGAGTACAGCTAACAGCCCATCTAGCATACAAGCGCGGGGATGTGCTCACATCGCAGCGTTATTGACTATGAATGGTTGCGGTTCAGTGTTCGGACCCGTAGAGTGAAGATAGAAGTATCATAAAACTGACTTAACACATCCAGACGGTCCTCCAACTTCATAAATGCCTCCGCGGCCTTCTTGACATCCCGTGGGTCGCTCAGATCAAGGTTTAGCCAGATGACTTCCCCTTTGCCGGGCGCCAGTCCCTCTGAGTGAAGTCTTCCAATCGCAGCCCTCGCTTTCTCCTCGCTGCGGGCAGCCATGTAAACCTTTGCGCCATGCCGTGCAAGGTGTTGTACAGTCGCGAAGCCGACCCCGGCGCTGACACCGACGCTATGAGGATACGCTGACCCACTGAGTCGAAGACGTACTTACTTGCCGCCAGTCACGATTACGACCTTGCCCTTCAAGTCTGGGACATCCGAATATGGGTTGAACGACTTGGAAAATAGTCCCATAATTCGTCTGGTGGGTGGAGAGTGACTCGCGTCGATGGTCTAGTGGAAGCTTCAAGCCGGTGCAGCCCAACGCTACTCGTGTCACCGTGATGATCAGGGTGGGAAAGAAAATGCCGCCCAGAGGAATTTGACATGAACTTGAAGAACGCTAAGACGTATATTTGACAAGCCCCGGCGGCTACGCCTGCCCCAGTCGTTCGATAGTGGCAGACAGAGTTGCTGCATTACCGCGTCTGATAGTCAGCTTCAGCGAAGGTTTCATCGCTGTAGTACTAGTACATGGACGGCCCAAACTCGGACAAGTCTAACGCCATACATTACTGGGCTAGAACCTCGACGCTTGAAGCTTGGAGGAACGTATGACGGTCATGATAGGCCGAGTCGGAGGCTTGCTCAGAACAGAAACGGCGCGTGAATTTCGAGCTGGGCGCTCGGTCGGCAGGGTCCCTTGCCGGGATTACCCGATATGGCTCAACAGGAACCGGCGTAACCCACGGACCAGACACTTCGCCGACCGGAAGCATTTCCCTCGTTGAACGTTCCCGCTCGGTCTGTTCCTGTTTCTTCGGTGCTAATCTTTGGGCAAGTCTCCCTTCCACAGTTGACATCGACCGCTAAAGGACGTGAAGTAAGATGCTTTTGTGCACAATGACCCACAAATTCTTTTGTAGCCGCTGGACCCCGAAGTCGCATCGCGTCGGTCCCCTGTACCGATATATACCCTAGGTAACTAGTTCAAGTACAAAGCGATCTCGATTGCTTCAGGGCAACCATAGGAAGACTAGAAATCGTGCTGACAGCCTAGTCGACGGCCTGGCCGCCGCGCGGTCACCCCGGTCGGAAAATCCTAGTAGACTCATGCTTGTACCAAAGCGCCGCGAGCACACTAGAGTCTCTAGACTGGTTTTCTATTCTGAAGTTCAAGCCGGCCGAGATCTCAGCCGTCCGAAAAATCTTGAAATGGCATGACCGTACTAACAGCAACCCACACTGCCTGCCCCTCGCTCTCGCTCTGCGTTCAAGTTCTCGTTGGCTTCGCTTTCAACACCCTCTCTTCGCCAACAAGGATCCCACTATGGCTCTAGCAGACGATATCGTTGGCGCTCTCTTGATTGAGGTTTGCCTGGCTTGTATGTAAGTGGTCTTTAACCTATGGGTGACAACGCGTCTTTAACTGACGACCAACTCTTGGCAGTCTGTACGGGGCCACGACGTTGCAGACCTTCATATACTATCAATCCACCTTCTCCGATAGCCGCTTCACCAAAGTAGTAGTGGCCACAATCTGGACATTGGAGAGCTTGCATACCGTGTTATGCATGGAGATGGTCTATCAATACACCATTACGCACTTTGGTGATTTTGATTTTCTTGGCCACATTTATTGGTATGCCTACGTTACATCGTAAATTTTAACTGAGGTGATCTTACAACTTTTTGTTCCTAGGGGAGCGGGGGTAAGCTGACGCATGCTATTATAAAGCTTTATCGTCAACATTGAAGAGGACGTCCCCTCCAGGCGAGCATCCTTATCAGCGTGCGTACTGTTCAGGCTCAAGGCTATCTTCCCCGAAAACATATCCATATCTTCTAGGTACTCGTTTCCGCAGCGGTACATGGGTAAGTGTTCGGCGTCGCATGTCGTATGCGCAACCATTGATGTTGGTACACAGGCATTATATTCGAAGGGTTTGGATCGGTATGTTGCGTGTACTATCACAATGGCTAATGCGGCTCTAATCTCGTGGGGTTTTTAGCGACCAACGGTTCAATTTCGCTCACTATCCTTCTCGTAAGTCATTGTACGCTCGCTATACCGCATTCTCTAGTACCCACGTCTATGTAGTCTGTTCTCGCCTTATGCCGTTTCGGTAAGTCTTAGACTCAAAAACCGTCCTCTTCCTTCCAGTGACTCACTCGTAATCTCCTTAGCTTGCGGAATCGGTGCGTCCCCCACTTTTCTTTTCATTCTGAGGTAAGACAAGTTTCCCTATCGCATCATAGCACATTCTCAGTTCAGTATCAGCCTGAGCACCGAAGAGTGGACGCTCTTCCGTGTGAACATCTCTCCTCTTGTAGGCCACTATTGTATAACCCTTGTCAGCATGATTGAGCGTAATCCCCGCCTAGGCCACCGTCACGCTTGGACTTGGCTGTGCCGCCGGGGTGGATGTTATCGTAGCATTGGTACTTGGCTACAGCTTCTGTCGAGAGGCGGGAAAACAGGCAAGGTACAGTCGTGCCCGATCAACTCGCTATATCAGGTGTCTGACTCCGGACTCGATTGTCAGAGGGCCTCAAACATATAGTAGCCGCGTGGACCCTATCCTCATCTACGCGGTGAACACGGGCGCTATTACTGCGTGAGTTCACTTGCTATTCGCTGGCCATGCACGGCAAATGAACCCTGACCGCCCGCGGGGCCACAGTATCTTCTCTATCCTCAGTGTCGTCCTCGTAAGCCGCTAAGCTTGTCTGCATAAGATTTCATTTTACTCTCATTTCAGTTCGTGACGCGCAAACAGAGCCTTATTTTCCTTGGACTCGTTGAGATTCAAAGCAAGCGTACGTGATCTCTACTATACGCCCCTATTGACTGTGGCGTCTTTGCAGAACTAATACGTATCTTACGTCAGTTTACGCCAATTCCTTCCTTGGCAGTCTGAACATTCGCGGAGACCACACGGACAAGCCATCCAATGCCCAATTTGCTACATACGAATTCACGCCTCGTGGTACATCCAGCGCTGCGCGCCTACCCCGTTTCCGTACGCACGGTACCTCTTTAGATATTATAACCTCCGTACGTCTTACTAGTTACTCCCTCACACGCAACCACGATCTAAGCAGACGCATACCTCCCCATAGCCGCAGGTATCCACTCATCAGCAAACAGTAGTAATGCGCGATAACGGCGAGATAGATGTGTGTTTTATTCATTTAGGCCTTGATCTTTTGTGCTACATGCTTACTCTCGTTCAGGCTTATTCCGAAAGCAGCTTCAAAGGGGAGATCGTGTAAATCTCCGTATTTACACTACGCCACGTTATACCCCCTCCCCGTATGTTATACGCTGCAGAATGAGTGGCCGTAGAATCTTGTGTACCTGAGTGGTTATCGTGGCGTACTCGTAATATTTGGTAGAGCGTCTTGTACCGCGCGCCAGGGAATACCTATTCCAACGAATCTGCAAGTTGTGCGCATGCGTTATACATATTCATCTAACATTTGAAGTCGCATACATGCAGGTGGAGTGCATATTATGTTGCCTATGGGAATGTACATGAAGCTCAAAGCGTTCAATTGCATCTTCGGGAATCTTGAAATACTACCGCATACAATACCAATCCAAACCTATCGCTGTGCGTCC